GCAAGGCTGGGAGTGGAGCCTGCCCCAGGCCCCACACCCTCCTCAGGATGGCCCTGGCGCTGTGCAATGGAGCTTTGCCTCCATGGGATGCACGGTTCCTGTTAAAGGTTCCATCTTCCTTTTAAAGCATAAAAGTACAGAGACAGCCGTTCAAAGCTCGACTAAATGTTTTTTCTTTGCCATTTTCTTTTACGATAGGACAGATTTAACTTTTCAATCACCCACCTGATGTAAAATGCAATTTCAAGAGTAATATCTCAAGCAAATAGTAATAAAAAACTTCCCAAGGTCAGAAGAATTTCAGTCTCATGTTGAGCTTGAGGAAAAGCCTTCTATAGTCAATATGATATTCTCTCTATCAGGGCACTGGCCTTCTGAAATGTAAGTTCTGTAAGTCTGCATGGGAGCTGAAATGGGGGCAGTGTTTGTCCTTCAGGCTTTCAACGGTGTTAAGTTGAACAAAAAATTACACTGGAATTTTGTAACTTTTGGCAATAAGTTCTTACGTTGATGTAACTATTAATGCCTGATCTTCAAGACCATTTCAAACTAGTACAAGCAATAATCGCTGAGAACTGTAAAGAGGGTCTGTAATCCATGATATTTTTTTCCTAAGACAATAAAACTCTTTGAAATCACTCCTTCATTCCTATTGAGTTGGACTTTCACACTTTCTCTTTCATCCACACACATCAGGAGAGGGAATTACATTCCTGAAATACTCCAGACTCGAATTCCTTCTTCAATTAAACGTTCTGCTTTACCATAACTTATCCCTGGCTAAAAAAACCAAGACTTGCAATTCAAGAACAGTTTGTCACGTCAGCAAATACTGATTCAGCAAACAAACTTATTGCAGCTCTATTAACACTCCCTCAATCTTCTCCCTCTAACAAGTACAGGAAGCTTGACTGGGAGAACATGTGGTCATACCTGAATTACAATGGCCAAATCCAAGAGATTCAGTAGCAATTTGTGCATTGTTTGAATTTGACGCTATCACAAAAGATGCTTCAGGGTATGATTACTGTCAGAAAATGTCCATTTTTAATGCTGGAGACTCTATCCCAGTGCAGCATCCATGATAACATCAGGTACAAGATAATAATTTCTTCACTGTCCAGTTCCTTACACACTGGCAACAACAGGTGAGATTTTCAATGGCACTCAGCATTGACCAACTCTGTTTCCAAAGAAGTCACTGGGAACAGCTGGGCCATAGCAGAGTACCTTTGAAAATCCCACCCATAATATTTAGGTCTAGGGAACTGGTTCCCTCCGGAAAAATCAGACCTTTTCAATGCAAGTATAGAAAACTGGCATATGTTCAACTTCAAAATGTGGTGGGGTGGGGTTTGATGGGAAGTTTGATGGGAGAATACCATACACCGATTACATGGTATGTGGTTGCTCTTCTTGGCCTCATAAGAGTGTTAAGTTATCACAGTAATGACAGCGGCACAAACAGATGGACAGAGAGCAGAGTTTAACTATTTTACAAACGAGCACTGTATTAATACATTAGCTTTCTGAATGAGTGTCTACCACTGCATATTTTAAAAGGCTGCTGGAGCTAATCAGTGGCACTTCCTCTAAGAGAAACCTACATAATCCAGCATCTAACATACCAGTCACAGGGTGCCAAGTCAATAAACCAATCAGAGATTGGAACTGAGAAGCAGATGATAGAAAGGAAAGATGACAGAGAAGAAGGATGGTCCAGGGGTTACTGTGTGAACCTGGGACTTGGCTATTCAGAGCCAAATCCCTGCTCTGACTAGGGATGTAAAATCCTGTTTATTTGCTTAACTAGTTAAAATATTATGTTTACTCAATTAACCGATTAAAGCGGGTACAGGTAGGTTCAAATGCTATTAACTGAGAAAGCACAAAAGATTAAATTTCCACAGACTACTGGGATATTTGGTAAATTCATTTGCATGCAAGGACCCAGGCTGCTTTTTAGCTCCATCACTATGTCAAAATAGTTCCACAGTAATGCAACACCACCACCACCACCACACTAAAAGGTTTCAGTGCTTGTGAGCCCACTATAGGTGAAATTCACTGCTATGCATAGGGCAAGTTCAAAGTCTGTTATCTACCAGACTCTCACTTAAGCTTTATTTTAGGAATTTAAGATCTCTTTAGTGATCACAGGCCTTAGGGTGAAATTGACTTTGCATGGGGGGAGAGGGGGAGGGAAGAAGGGTATTCTAAGCATAAGTTTATTTTCTTCTTCTATTTTAAAAGGGGAACATTTGGAGGGCTTTCCTCACTTCTAACCTTGTTTTTTGTTTTCCACGAGTAAGAGATGATCTAGGATCAAATCCTGACTTCAGGGGGTTTCCACACCTGTTGGAATTAGCCCTTTGTGGGAACTATTTAAATGCTGGATCAGTTTTAACATAATAAATCTGGTTTGGATCAAATGAATTTTATGGATTCACTAGATTTAAGTATATTTCAAACTTCGTTTAATCATGCTGTACTTCCAAGGAGAACATCTGAAATGCAAAGAGAGTTTCAATATGCTAAAAGCAAAACTATCTTTCATGAAGGGTCAACTCTCAATATTTATGGCTATGTTGAGACCACATTGGGTCAACACATAGTACTGTGGCTACAGTGTCTCTCTCTTTCTCCTGTCCTAGTTTTAAAGACACTTCATATCACTCCTGAGGCCATAATTGGAATGTTTATATTGCTATGGTCTTCTTATAAACATTTTGATTTTAGACTCAGTGCATCAAGGCAGGAGATAACATGGACAAAAATTATAAGAAAAGGGAACGGAGAAAATCTGGAGTTTCTATTGCAAATTTCCCTAAACAGGAACTCCAGATCATGGTCTTGGTGCAACATTGTCAGAACTTTCCTATTTATTCCCACCATTCTATTATTCCCCTCAGTCCTCATGGTGCTTGGTCAGTAATTCTGCTTCTACCTAAGCACCATGAGAAGAAGAGGATGAAAGCTCAACCAAAACTAACAGTGCAAGTGAGCCTGCTTCAGAGCAATGCAGCTAACCCAGCTTCTAAAATACTAATAGCATCACATTCCCAAGGGCTGTTTTCCCTTCCCTTGGTGGCAACAGAGTCAACCTGCAGCTGAATCTGTCTCGAACTGCAGTGAAATGCAATTTTGCCATCAAGTTACTGCACCCTAACGGGCCATTATTACAAAGTATAATCTTTAAATAAAACACTAATATTTAACGGTACCTCCATTTTCACACTAATTTATCTTCTTTTGTACAGAAGGACATTCAATAACATTGAAAAGCAAAAACTTTAACACTAATAAGAGCCAATGCTTTTTACACAATATACAATGTACTTATGGGATAGTTTTCATTCCCCAAGGCTGATGATTAGAAAAAAACCCTCCCTAATAGGCAGATTACTCCATAATTATCCACAGGGGGTTTCTTGCATCTTCTTCTGAAGTGTCTGGTGCCAACCTCTGTCACGAACAGGATACTCAATGAAATAGAATTAAATTCCTATGTTTTCAACTAAGTTGATAGCATTCAATAGCAACATCTTCAGAGGGGTAGCCGAGTTAGTCTGTAATAGGAAAAACTAAAAAAACAACAAACAGTCTAGTAGCACTTTATAGACTAACAAAACATGTAGATGGGATCATGAGCTTTTGTGGGCACAGCCCACTTCTTCAGATGACCAGAGTGTTGGAAGTCCAGATCCAAAGGTAAATAAGGGAAGGAGGAAGGGTTATCAGCTTCTTATAACTACTCAGTCTTTAAGATGCTACTAAACTGTTTGTTGTTTTTTAAGTTTTTCCTGTTACAGACTCACTTGACTACCCCTCTGAAGCTTATCTACTCATGGTCTTTTTTTCTTCCTCCCCTTCAATTTTTTTTCCTTCTCCCTCCCTTCCTTCTTCCCCTACTTATCCTTGGATCTGGACTTCCAACACTCTGGTCATCTGAAGAAGTGGGCTGTGCCCACAAAAGCTCATGATCCCATCTACATGTTTTGTTAGTCTATAAAGTGCTACAGACCATGTTGTTGTTGTTTTTAAAGTTTTTCAATAGCAATCTTAGTCAGACCATGATTTCACATAAATAATTGGTATTTCCCTACTCCTTTCCCACTGTGGGATATTTGCCTTCCTCTCCTAAGCTTTTAACTTTGCCTACTTATCTCTCCTATAACTGATCATTTAACATCATGGCAACCATTACTCTTCAGTTAGCCTACAGAGCAGGGGTCTGCAACCTATGGCTCTCAAGCGAAATATGCCTCAGTATGGAACCAAATATGGCTCTTTTGTCATTCCCAAAATGCATGCAACTTTTTAAATTAAAATGAAAAAATTCAAAATTTAAAAAACATGTAATTACTCATGTGACTTGAATGCGTGCATGAATCTGAATTTGACCAGTTATGATGTAAACTTCAAAGAAATGTGTGAAAAGCTGCAGCAGTAGAAGTCCCATTAAATAAAGTCTGTGAGTTCAGTGTTTCATTTACACTATTATTAATCAGCATGTCAATTATCAATAATATTAAGTTGTATAGTTTCAGTCATGCAAACAGGCATTCTTACATGGATTTTGTTGACCATTTGTTCTTAATTTTGATGTAGTTTGGCTTTTTGGTTTAAAAATGTTGCCAGCCCTTGCTCTAGAGAACTTTCCATCCCATCTGTCATTGATCTCAATATTTATATTGTGTTTATCCCAGTCATGTCTGAACACAAAGGAGCAGAGAGCCAGACTTGAGCCTGGACCTCTGGCTCCCTGCCTAGCAGTACGTTTTTCTCCTCTTAAATGCTTCAATCATCTTCCAAGTTTCAATCAACATTCTTAATTCACATTAAGTTTAATTTAAGAAACATTAAATAGCATAACTTCAAAATAAACAAGTTTATAACGTAAAATAAAAATAAAAGGAAAAGAATGTTTAAAATAATTAATGCATATGTATATAATTAAACTTAAAATTATAATATTTAAAATGAACAATTCCATTTACCTGAGTCCTCATCGGTGGAAGAATTATTTAGCACTTTTGGGTGGGGGAAGTTGGTACTGAAGCACACAGATGACTTTAAGGAGTGGTTCTTTTCCTTTTCATCCATTTGAGGAGTAAAGTTACTGAAGACCAAGCACATATCATTCATTTGTGCAGGAACTCCAAGGATATCCTTGGAAATTTTGTTCTTGAGCCTTAGAGATGAAAAAAGATTCTCCTGGTTACAAATACATAAGTCATCAGTGGAGGCTGTCAGTGGAGTCTCTTCAAGATTAAACTTTTCTAGGAGTCTGGGCACATCATCCATTTTCTCATCAGATGAATTTTGAGGCCTAACAGCAGCTTTGGAGAAACCTGTATGCAAACTGGAAACTGGAAACAAAGCCTCTGTGGAGAGACTAGATGGGTTTGTGACTAAGTGTTGAGTGTCTAGTACGTTAGATTCTTGTGACTGTACATCATGTTCTCTATTGCTGTTATTTTCCCTTGAAGGTACAGTGTGACCTAAAGTATTGGAGGAACTGAAAAAGTTATGTTCTGAAGTAAGGTTGGCGTTACTGTCTGGAGTCTTTTTTGTGCTTTCTGAATGAGAGACAAGGGGTTCTAGAACTGATCTCTTTATTGCATTGGCAATTAGTCTCAATGGTGATTTTGGATGGCTAGACAGACATTCTTCTACAAAACTGTCTGAACTCTTTAGAATTTCTTTTGTGTCTGCTGATGAATTTGGCAAAGCATCATTTGCAAATGGAAGAGGCAAAGAAAGATTGGATTGCTTGGATATGTCTTTTCTCCTATTACCATCAATATCCTTCCATTCTGAAATTTCTAGCATTCCTTGGCTTTGATATTCCAGTTTTGTTCCATTTAAATCTGCATTTCTCAAATCAAGTAATTTGGATTGCTGCTCTACATCAAGCATTAACTTGTTCTTTATCTGTTTTTTTATTTCTAGGTCAGGCTGTTCTCTCCACTGTCTTGGGCTTCTTTCATTTTTTTCTGGGTCTAGAGAAGACAAATCTGTATTTTTTCTGCTGAAGTCCCTTGTTCTGGTGGTACATTCTTCTCTCTCTTTCAGGTTATCCAAATTATATTCCTTGTTACCATTTTCATCTTTATGTACATCAGCAACTGAAGGAACATTTCCAGAATGCATCAATGGAGATTCTGTAACACTGTTCTGCAGTGGGTAATGGGGCACATATCGACAGATTTCTTCAGGTGTCTCTTTGGCTTTTGCCTTTCTTTGAAACACTGGGATAGAAGATTTGAAAAGTCCTCTTGTAATTTCTGGTGGTTTGTTATGAGATGTCAACTGTATAGAATATATGAAATGTTTATATAAGTGGTAGAAAAATATAATTAATCCTATTTTTATTTAGGCCGAATTTTAAAATAATTCATGTCAAAATAGACTGTCCCAAATACACCTGAATATGTACAGGTATATGTGTGCACATGTATACACACACACAAACATCCAGTAAGCAGAAATATTGTTTTCTATTCTCCCTTTGTTAAGAGCTATATTTTTGTAATCTAGGATGGAGAACAAATAGTAAATTGGTACTCCAAATTGGCCTAAAATTAATCTGTGCTAAAAGTGGATGCTATCTTTCCCCTTTTTAAGTAGTCCTTCCTTCAATATTCTCGTTGGAAAGAATCACTCAGGACTACAAACAAAAGATGACATACCCTCTTCTGTATATTTCAGCTGCACCATTTAGAACAAACACAGAACACTGTGACGCATCATATCTGGCTGCTTCAGAAATATTGCACTTGTTTTTTGTGTAGTGCAGCCAGGAATGAATCAAGCAATCCAGCAACAAATGGGAAATGCAATATGATAGATTTACACGCTAATAAATCGGTGTACAAATTGTGCAGAGTTACAGTTCTAGATACTTGAAACTTTCACTTTATCTGCAATTCAGACTAGGGTTGTAAAATGTTGATTATTTGGCTAATCGAATAGTCGATACAATTTGCATTGACTATTCGATTAGTCAATAAGGGTGCTTCCCCCTTTGAAATGTAGCAACAGTCCCAGGGCTCCCCGCAGCATTTCAAACTGGCAGTGCTGCATGAAGCCCAAGGTCAGCGTGGGAGTCCCCAGCTAAACCCAGGCTCCACACGGCACTGCCGCTCTGACGCCGCCACATGCAGCCCGAGCCAGCTGGGTATTCCAGCATTTGAAATGCGACATTTCAAAGTAGCAGCACCATGTGGAGCCCAGATTCTGGCCCCAGGCTCCACATGGTGCCACTGTTTGAACCACCCCCACCTCTTCCTCTCACCTTGCTGCCTCTTTCTGATAGAGGTAGCAAGGGGGGACGGGGAGGGACTAGTCAACGATCCTGTTGACTATCCAATAAGCATTTGATTATCAAATAGTTGACTAGTCGTTCACATCTCTAATTCAGACAGTATCATTGCAAGATTCCTACATTGTCCAGCCAATATGCCCAAACTGTAACCTGAAAGTTTCCTTTTAGAAGTGAAGAATATCATTCTCCATGCTTTGAGGAGGAAAGAGTTCCTTGTAGTTAAGGTACACAACTGAATAGTCAGGAGATCCGGGTTTCTATTCCCACCTCAGTAGCATATGAATTTGGACACGTTATTAACCTTTCTTTGCCTCAATTTCCTATCTGTAAAATGGGATCAATAATAATCATCTGACTCACAGCTAAGCGTTTTGATGCCTAAATTAACATTTGTGAGGATCCCAAATATTACAGTGATGAATGCCATAGAAACGACAATAAATAAATGCCCATTCAATCCACTCTGCTTAGATGTCTAACAAGTATGCCAGTTAGTACAAGTCATGGCAGTTGAGGTTTATAATATGGAGACTTTGCTGCTGTTACCTGAAGAAAGATCACCCAGAACATTTTACTGATCAGTCCCCCAGAAAATCTTCAGTTCCTGTGCTTATTGCCCTGGACTGTGTTGGAACTAGTGCCATAGATGTGGAAGATTAAATCTGATGAGTGAGCCTTGAAGTAAAGTATTGTTTTAAAACGTGTTTAACTAATAATCCCATGGTTAGGACACAAACCTAGGACTTCGGAGAAATGGATTCAAGTCCTTGCTGTACTGCAGACTACCCATGTGACCTTGGGTAATTTATATATGTTACTTTTTTTTTTTATAAGTGACTATGTAATTTAGGTGCCCGATCCCATTGAAAGACAACAGGACGTAAGTGCCTAAGTCACATAGATTTAATCTACTCAGCATTTTTGGGGGAACCTCCTGAGGTCTCTTCTAGCTCTGTGATTATGTTTCTATAACTTCCTAGCTCCCAGATCAATAGACTCAAACCTGGACCCCAAGCTCCCCCCAAGTTGCCAAATAAAATTGCTGTGTTCACATCTGTTTTTGGATCATTAGCCATGTCTATCAGCCCACGCCAGGAGGCTCACTTCAAAATTCAGTGTGGACATTCACCATCAGGTGCTTTTGGAAATTTTACCTTTGCCTCTGTCTCAGTTCACCATCTGTAAAATGAGGGGTAAGAGGGGGGGAAACAGTACTTCCCTGCCTTGCAGGGTGCTCAGAGAAAAAGAACATTTAAAAGATTATGAGGTGCTCAGAAAACCCAGTAATGAGCATCATAAAAGTATCTTAGAAACAGACTGAACTGTTTTGTTTTGCTACCTTTCTTTTATTAACAAGAGTTTTCCTTCATACCTGTGATTGGGATATATCATCTTCAAGAGCACTCGGAGATCTGGCAGAGCTCTCCTGTGAATGGAGCCCAGCTCTCTTGATGTACAAGAGAGGGAAATCTGCCAAAGGAAAACAAAGGTGTACATTTTGCTCAAACTACTTTGACCTAAATAAAACTTGCAATTAAAGTAGTATGGTAAGAAGAAGTCCAAGATTCCTGAAGGATTTCATCTAAATGCATGTATGGGCAGAGGAGCACACACACTCTCTGTATCTAGTTTTTCAAAATTGCCCTCAGTTCTTTGTGGTTCAACTTCAAACATCTTAAAGGCTCAACATTTCTCAAAAATGTCACTTCTGAAATCGAGGCATCCAAAATCACTAGTCACTTTGAATATGTAAGTCAGTGCATGCTTTAACGAGGGACATCCATTGCAACAAGGAAGAACTGAGAAGTATGGTTGGGAGATAAGGCTACAAACAATCCCACAATCCCTATGATCAGTAGTTGCGGCTATTCTGGAGCTATAAAAATGGGTGGTTTATGACCCCGAATCAGCAACTCTGGGCAAATTAGACCTGGTGAAAAACTGCATGCCAGTTACTTGTGTCTGCAGGCAGCCAACTGCAGGATAAGTAACTTCAATGTGCCTTTTAATATTTGCAAATGTACAAATTGAGCCTCTGGCAAACACACACACACACACACACACACACACACACACACACACACACACACACTCTGCATTCTATGGTTTAGCTTGGAAAGTAACCAGGATCACAATAATTCATCAAGTTGTCCATAAGATCACCACATCAAACATAAGCTATTTGTCTTTACTTTCAAGACCCTTCCCAAGCTATCCCAATACTATGTATTCGCTCATTGACTATCAAGACCTCCACTCCCACCTCCAATCAGTTCAATATGGCAGCCACCGTATTTCACTTTTGAAATCTTTTGTTCTTTCTTTCCAGTGACCCTTCTGCAAAATGAATTATCCTCCATCAGAACAAATAATAATAATGGTCTCCCTAGAGCCTGGGCTTCCTTTTACTGTTCATATGCATGAGCCTTTGATCTAATTGTGGCCTTTAGGCACCACTTTAATACAAATAATTCCTATTTCCTCTTTTGTTTTAGTTCATCACAGCTGTGCATACATTGATCCTGTGTCTGCTATGTTGCTGATACAGTTTCTGAAATACTTATAGGCAATGCTGCTGCTCTTGTTTATTCTTTGGAAAATGGCTGTCATGATTCTGATACTTGGAAAATACTCAAGTGGTGACGTCAGGTTCCTTTGATACAACTGCATAGACTCGTATCTGCCAACAGCACAGAAAACAGCTACAGGACTGCAGATGACTGGGAAGAATGTTTTGTTGGGTAGAAGAGGCAATTCTGAATGCCTGTTTTCCCCTCACGGGACACTTACAGAAGCTATCATTATGGTACTACTTCTAAGCGAGCCTCTGGTTCTCCTCAGTCAAACCCACAGGCAGCTCTTCCTGACTGACAGGATGAGCACTGCTCCTGGAGGTGCCAATTAATCACAGCAGGGGACAGAAACAGCAGCTGTCAAAGAGCCTTTTATTTAATGTGTAATGAGGGGAAATGTTTTTGTTCTCTGCAACCTAAGATATGTTGTTTATTGAAATATGGATCCCCAGATCACAGAAGTCAAACAGCAGAATATGGAATGGGCTGTGCCAACAGACTTGTAAATGAAGAAAACAGGCATGTCTGTATAGCTTAGAGTAGGGGGTGGGGGAGCACTTACTAAAATAGGCAAGTATTACTGTTCAGCACACTGGAGACAATTCAATTTCTTCAAGGGGGTCTACTCCAGGGCTTCTCAAACTTCACACTGTGACAAATAAGTTACCACATGACTCCCGGGGACAGGTATTGAGCTTGAGCCCCAGCCCCACTCACTGACCCAGGTGGGGGTGGGGCTTAGGTGTCAACTTTAATCCTGGGTTCCAGCAAGCCTAAAGCTGTCTCTGGCAACCCCATTAAAACAGGGTCACAACCCATAGTCTGAGAACTGTAATGTTAAGTAAAGGTCATAGGCTTAGACCTTAAGGGTCTGGATACTACATATCCATGTCCCACTGTAAAGCTAGTCCCACCTGGACTCCCCCAGAATTCAATGGGATTCTGGGCGTGGATAAAACTATGTTCAAGCAATGTGTAGTTGTGACCTTCAATGAGCGTGAAATGGCATAGCTCCATCGACCTCAATGGAGATCCCAGCCGGTGTACAGAGTAACTGGCCCTGCATCTACAACTTCAATGTATTCAGACTTGGACCCTATATCCTTTGGGTATAGCTAGACTCTTCAGGTGGCGAAAATGAAATTGGCCGCTTTAGACATCACACACATAAAGTGTGTAAATCCTCATGGCTGAAAGACAGAGGACTTCAGATTTAGAAGGCAATTCCCTGCATTGGATCTTTGAGGACATCTGAAATAGGCCTTTTGACCATATATTTAAAGTAATTAATGTACAACGTATGATTAGGGGGACAAGACTGAAAAGGAGACCGGTTTCTTTCTGAGATGAGTGACAGATGCTTATAATCCAGTATAAAATTCTACAAGAAAATAAAGTCACACACTGTTCCTCCAAGAGAGAGAAAAAGGCCTTTATTGTGTGCTCAGGGGATGCTGACAAGTGTCTTGCTACACATTGCAGTCGCATGCTTAAGCTTTTGACAAATTCACAAATTACATTGCTTCCCTTCAATAGACTTTTAGCACCCTCTAGAGACTCCTTCCAGAGGTACACAAGAGGGTTGAATAAAGAAAAAGCAAAATTAATAGGAAAAAATTGAATTAAGCAGGTAATGTGTTTATCAAGAACAAGATGAAAATGAGCTGTAATCAAGAAATGCCCCCGGCCTTCTCCCCTTCTCTTTCTTTCTTTTTAAACCTGGATTAAGCATTTTCCTGTGTGTGATTTTTAAACCATAGACCAATGGAGGCAAGTTTTTCTTCTAACTCAGGGGTGGACAATAATTTTTGATGAGGGGTCACTACTAATATTTTGGAAAGTGGTCAAGGGCTGCACTCTTCCATGGTATTAATGGAGGAGGTGCAGGGTCTGGGATGTAGGTTGGGTGCAGAAGGGAGCTTGGGGTAAAGGATTGGGGTGCAAAAGGAAGAATGGAGTCTGGGAGGGAGTTTAGGTGAAGGAGATGGTTGTGACCTAGGGCAGGGAACTGGGGTGTAGGGGTTTGGGATGTGACCTTGGGTAGAAGGGGATTGTGATCTTGGGCAGGAGATGGGGTGCAGATCTGGGAGGTGGTATGGGTGCATGTGGAGTAGTGGGACAGGAGTGTGGGGCAGAGGGTTGGGGAATGTAGGGGCTGAGGTGCCAGAGGCAGGTTCTCCCCAGGAGACTTACCAGCCTGCCTACCTGCAGAGCTAAAGGCTTGCAGAGCTTAAAATGTTTCTGGCTGCTCAGCCATGTGCTTGAGTGAGTGAACAGGAGGGTTGTGCTTTGTGGCTATCTGTTATTCAAACAGATAGCTACCATTGACCAGTAGTCTGTCCAGAAACCGGCCAATGGGATTTGCAAAGGGTGGGAATAGCATTTGAATCTTCTCGCCTGCCCTCTGGCATGTGGGGCTGTGGGGCAAGCAGGGGAGTCTGCCTGGGGCTCCCTACTGCCTCCATGGCCTGGATCTGGTGGCTTGGCGGGCAGGATCCAGCCTGTGGGTTTGCCCCCACCCGTTCTAAGTCTTTATTCATGTTCTGCCTTCATAATTGACTAAAGCCAAAAAGTTCTTTGTGGATGTTTTCAAAGACAGTCCCAAGTTTTAAGGTAGCTAGGACATACATGGGAAGTGTTAGGAAGGGAGTAAGTCTTTAATAACCTTAACCAATTTATAACAATGGCTTTAAATGGCTACATTTTAAATGATGGCACCCTTAGCTCTGATGTTGTCATACTTCCCCATTCGCCAGCCCACATTCCCCAAGAAGCTGGATTTGTCAAGCTAGAAGGGTGAGCTAAAATGTGAATTGCAAGATCCACTGGAGAGTTGACTGTTACCTTGTTGAATTTCCCCCAAGAGGGGCTGGTGATTCACTTGTCATGAACCTCTCTTTGGAGGAATGTGTGTCAGTTTATTAACCTCCCCTGTTTGGTAGAATTATCCTATCACAATGATGGAATATCCTGACAGTTTACTCTCCTGGGATTTGTGAGCTGTTCCATGGCTGGAGAACGAGATTCTTCTACAGCTGCAAGATTATGAATGACTGTCAGCTACTCCCACCTGTTCACTCACCAGTGACTGCCAGGTTAATTATTACTTATTATTCAGGTTTCATCAACACTCCCCTATTTAGGTATCTGGAGCTATCTAACTGGAACTATAATCCAAAGCTAGGGTGCATGGGAGAAGAGAGATACACTCCTGCAATCTGGCTGGTGGACATGTGAAGCAAGAGTCATAAGATTATTTCTATGAAAACTTTTTACTAATTTTCAAAAGCATGTTTGTGCTCCAACCAAGCCTTCTTGTTTGTCAGCAAGCATAAGACTCCACAGATACAGATGCCTAGGGGGAAATGGGGATTGAATTTGTTTCATAATTTTTTTATAAATTCTCTGGAGGCAACAGGCATTTTAATATGCATAGAAGGAGCAGCACTAACCTTCATATCTTGAAAAGGGCTCAGCTAAACACAGACAAATGCTACCATTTGTTTCACACACTGAAACCAGGCCCTTCCCTGTGGCTGGATAAGGATTTGAAACTTAAACAGAAATTGGTTTCATCAACAGATGTCGGCCCAATAAAACATTACCTCATCCACCTTGTCTTTCTAAAATCCATTTCTAAGGGTATGTCTACACTACAGTGCTATTTTGAATTAACTTAATTCGAACTAGTTAATTCGAATTAAGTTAATTTGAAATAACGCATCTATACACAAAAACTATTTCGAAATAGCATTTTGCTATTTCGAAATAGCACGTCCACACTGAGTAGACCCTGAACTGAAGTTAAGGCTGGCCGGAACCAGTACCCGCAAGGCATCAGAACAGGACTTAGTGTGTGAGGCTGCTGCCTGAGGCTAACTGAGCTCCATGCTTAAA